TGAAGAAACTTCCACAACACAACCGTCTGAAACAACTGAAAAACGATATTCGTCACAAGAAAAAAGCATTGCTGGAGGGGAAGAACAAGGTGTTGTTTCTGCCCGAAGTGTTGAATCGCTTACAAAAAAATTGGCTGAAGTGGTTGAACCACAGTACTACTCGTTACGACAAAGAAGTATTGCTCGAGCAGAAGAACAGGGTACCGTTTCTATCCAAAATGAAGAAACTTCCACAACACAACCGTCTGAAACAACTGAAAAACGATATTCGTCACAAGAAAAAAGTATTGCTGGGGGAGAAGAACGAAGTACTGTTACTGCGCGAAGTGTTGAATCGCTTACCAGAAAATTGGCCGAAGTGGTTGAACCACGATATTCGTTACGACAAAAAAGTACTGCTTGGGCAGAAGGACACGATGGTGTTGTTTCTAGTCGAAGTAAGGGATCATCGATCACAATAAAGCCACAAGAAATAACAGAAACACGATATTCGTCACGAATACGAAGAAGTGCTGCTGGAGGAGGAGAACAAGGTATTGTTTTTGTCCAAAATGAAGAAACGTCCACAACAAAATCGCCTGAAATAACAGAAAAACGATATTCGTCACAAATACGAAGAAGTGCTGCTGGAGGAGGAGAACAAAGTATTGTTTTTGTCCAAAATAAAGAAACGCTCACAACAAAATCGCCTGAAATTGCTGAAAAACGATATTCGTCACGTGAAAAAAGGTATGCTGCTGGGACAGAAGATCGCCACGATGACTTTTCTATTCAAGCTGAAGAATCATCGATCACAATAAAGCCATCTGAAATGACTGAAACACGACATTCGTCACGATTGAGAAGTACTGCTCGAGCAGAAGAAGATTCTGTTTCTGTCCAAAATGAAGAAATCTCCACAACAAAATCGCCTAAAATAACAGAAAAACGATATTCCCCACGTGAAAAAAGGCATACTGCTGGGGCAGAAGATAGCCACGATGACTTTTCTATTCAAAGTGAAGAATCATCGATCACAATAAAGCCATCTGAAATAACTGAAACACGACATTCGTCACGATTGAGAAGTACTGTTCGAGCAGAAGAAAATTCTGCTTCTGTCCAAAATGAAATTTCCACAACAAAGCCACTAGAATTGGCTGAAGCACGATTCTCGTCACAAGAAAGAAGCATTGCTTGGGGAAAAGAACAAGATGC